CTCAGTTTCAAGTATATTTAAGTAAAACAAATAATAAATTTATTACTTCTCAATCATTTCCATCCAGTGATACCATACCGACCAGTTCAAAAAGAAAAAAACGACGAATTATTGTATATACGGTTCGGTCACTCGTTAAGGTCCGCAATCAGTTTGCAACCGCGAGTGGTTAGTCCTCTTGCTCTGGAATGACGTACCACGCACGTCGAGAATTTTTTGTCTCAAAATTACAATATTTTCTCAGTTTCAAGTATATTTAAGTAAAACAAATAATAAATTTATTACTTCTCAATCATTTCTATCCAGTGATAACATACCGACCAATTCAAAAAGAAAACGACGAATTATTGTATATATACGGTTCGGTCACTCGTTAAGGTCCGCAATCAGTTTACAAGGGCGAATGATTAGTCCTCTTGCGCTGGAATGACGTGCCACGCACGTCGAGAATTTTTTGTCCCAAAATTACAATATTTTCTCAGTTTCAAGTATATTTAAGTAAAACAAATAATAAATTTATTACTTCTCAGTCATTTCTATCCAGTGATAACATACTGACCAATTCAAAAAAGAAAACGACGAATTATTGTATATATATACGGTTCGGTCACTCGTTAAGGTCCGCAATCAGTTTGCAAGCGCGAGTGGTTAAACGGTCGACGGTGGATAACAGGGTCCCGGGCCGATGGAAGAATGCGAAGCGAGTACGGTCTCTGGTACAACGTGGTACATAAGCCGGATGGGTTCGTCTCGTGTTCCAAGTATTACAAGAACGACGTCCACGTGTCGGGACTGTCAATTCGTAAAGTCGCGCACGACGAGCATCTTCGTCCACGTTCGCCCACCTTCGGCCACCGGGTTTTGCCCCTTCCTTCCTCACCTTTTCCACGGGGAACGTTGACTCCGAGGCGTGGCGCCGGAACTCGAGAAACATCCTAGGCCCCGACGACCTCCTCGGAAATTACGTGAGTCGACATCGCGTTCCATTCACGATCGCCCTAACCCTAACTAAACGATCTCGTTGGATCACGATCCTTCTCCCAACGCCGATTCATCAACTGATTGCGGACCATAACGAGTGACCAACATCGTACACAATAATTCGTACACACGTTTGGCGAAGTGTCGTTTTTTGGAACTCGTCGGTATGACATCACTGGATAGAAATTATTGAGAAGTAATAAATTTATTATTTGTTTTGTCTGGGTTTATGCTCAAGTAACTTAAAACTGAGGAAATATTGCAATTTTGGGGACACAAACGTTCTCGACCCTGTGTGGCACGTGTTCATTAACGTTCCGACTGAATTTCCCGCCAATTTTCCTTCCCAATCAGTTCCCTCGAAGTCGGCGGAAACAAACGAGATAATCGAGATAAGATAAGCCCGAAAAACGCGAGAGACAAATGCCTCTCCATTTTCTTTTTCGCTTGGAACTTCCGCGGTTCGTGTTTGAAATTTTCAAAAGAGACGGACTTTCCTCTCGTTTCGATATCAGCGAAAAAACATATCTCGCGTTGATCGAGCGACTAGAACAAAGATGTAACGAACCCGACGTTACAGTTACATTGCTAACGGATCGAAAATGTTGAAACAGTCCGTTACCGATACCGAAGCGGCCGTGCGGCACTCGTAGCGGCTGGTAAGCAGGAAGCGAAGCAGAAACTGAACTTGCGAGAGCATATTATTGATCGGAGGGCCACTAGTGCGCCAGCGCAACGCAATCCTAAAGGGCAAAACAGTAGCAATATCTACCCTCGTTCACGTTTCGTGTGCAGTGTTCTAGTGCCGTTCCATCGTCCATCCGGCGCTTTTACTCTGACGCTTGGCAAAGTGTCGTCGCGCGTGGCTAACATGTCCGGTGGTACGTATGCCATGTGGTTTAACTCCTCTTTCTCTTTCTTTTTTTTTTTTTTCTTTTGTTCTTTTTAGGTCCGATCGTTCTTTTTTCTTCGCGCGAAGGAGATAGATACGCACGTGTATTAGAAATGAGACGAGGGCTCCTTCTCAGGAAGGAAGAAGAACGAAAGGGAGGGAGAGATGTCAGAAGCGACGAAGAATCGCGTTTCCATGTTAGCTGACCGTTTAATCGTTTTCTTTTCTTTTCCTCTTTCTCTTCTCATTCATCAAGACAGGGACTATATCGGATTCGCAACACTGCCAGAGCAAGTGCACAGAAAATCGGTTAAGAGGGGATTCGAGTTCACCCTGATGGTGTTGGGCGAGAGTGGTCTTGGAAAGTCTACCTTGATAAACAGTCTGTTCCTCGGGGATCTTTACAAAGACCGACGAAACCTCGATGCCGCTGGTTGGTACTTATATGGTGCAAACATACGTACATAAAGTCGCAAGTACGACGATCATTGCCAAAACTAGTTCTTTCTAGAACGCATTGAAAAGACGACGACGATAGAAAAGAAGACGATGGACATCGAAGAGCGCGGGGTCAGGCTACGTTTAACAATCGTCGACACACCTGGTATAACTTCACTTTTAGTTAATATTTCGTGCACAATCGAACGACGTATCGATGCAACTCTCGTATAACACGGTGTCACTCTTGCTGATTAGTGAGAAGCGTGTTTTGCGTAAATTTGTACAATAATCCCCCTTCAGAGAGTTACATTTTCCTTAATAATATTATTTTATTATAATTATTATTAATAATAATTGTAATATACTTAATAATATTATAATATATTATAATAATATTATATTATATAACATAATAATAATATATTATTAATATTATTATATTATAGTATAGTATAGTATAGTATAGTATAGTATAGTATATTATATTATATTATATTATATTATAGTATAGTATAGTATAGT